TTTATTTACTTACTTACTTACTTACTTACTTACTTACTTACTTACTTACTTACTTACTTACTTACTTACTTACTTACTTACTTACTTACTTATCACAGCCGTCCACTTCAAATTATCTAAGCTCTTTTAAGCTTTTATTTTTGTGGAGTTTGACCTTAGCAATGAGTTCTTTTAAAACCGTTCAAAGAAAAAGCAACAAACACACACAAAATTTACCCACTGCCATTTCTCCCAGCAAAGTTTTTGACTATTTGTTTTAAATTTATATTTCTGGAACTTCGGGGACATGTGTCAAGACTGCTGTTTATAACTGTGTGTGTGAATTTTAACAGTACAGGATGATGGAAGGCATTGGACTGAGAAGGGGGAAACAGGAAGAAGACAGGAAGAAAGGAGTTGGCTGAGATGGTGTTGATTGAAAGAAAAACCCACAGGAACAAAGACAAATGGGTGGGACAGGATACGAAAAAGTGCACAGAGGGGGGGAAAAACATATGGGCAGGACTTTGGAGGATTTGCTGAGCGTGCAGACAGCATTTCTTTTGATGTGCAAAAGAGTTGCAAACAGAACTGGAATCACTTAAAATAATGTGGGTGATATTGTGCTTTTCTTGTTGTGTTTTTAGGAGTGAAAACTGGGATTCAGGAATAAATTGTACACTTTCATACCAAAGGATTTATGTCTTATCTTGGAGACAAAAGTTGTGCACAGGGTGTGGCAGAGTAGGGGAGTCATCCTGGAACCAGCAGGTCACCAGTACCAACCCGCATTCCAGCTGTCTTAGTCATTGTGTCCTTGGGCAAGACACTTCACCCACCTTACCTGCTGATGGTGGTCAGAGAGTCACCGGTGCATGGCTGCCCCAACTCTGTCAGTGTGCACAGGGCAGCTGTGGCTACAATGTAGCTCAACACAATCAGTGTGCATGGGTGAATACCTGAAGTGTAAAGCGTCTAAGAGTCCATGTGGACTTGATAAGCTATATAAGTTCAAGCAGTGTTGGGCACAGTTACACTAAAGCACTAAAGCACTAAAGGGGAACTGATTTCTTGATTAGTGTTTTAGGGCTTTTGCTATTTTTAATGCCATTAGTGGATTAGCATATGCTAAATATATGGGCTAAATTTAGAAGCACTAACTGAGGTCTATAAATGTTACTGATAATTATTGTTAACAGTTGAGGGTGAAAGCTGTCATACATTTTGTTCATATGTGTGTCACTCATCAACAAGGTCACATGTGTCAAACTCAAGGCCCGCAGGCCAAATGTGGTCTGTGGGTGACTCACATTTGCCCTGCCAAGGGCATTAAATGACAACATTCTGCACACAGTAAGTTTTGTCTCATGTTGACTCTGAAGAATGTTTCATGTGTCATCTGGATTACATTAGTGCTTTAGAATTAGCTTTTGCTAAATTTTTCAGTGCGTTAGTGTTTTAGAATTAGCTTTTGCTAAATTTTTCAGTGTGTTAGTGCTTTAGAATTAGGGGACCTAAATATTTGAGTTAGTGCTGAAAGGTCAGTGCAACTAATATTTAGATTAGTGCTGCCCACCACTGATTTCAATCCATTTACCATTTACAAAGTTACTTGCAAAAAAGCAGATGCATAAGCCAGATGACTTTTACAGATGTACCCAGCTTCCTCTGTTATATCAAAGTGCATGAATGTTCTTTCTGTTTACATTTTTATCCCCCATTCTTAAGTTAATGTCTCAAAAGTTCACAAAAAGTTAAAGTTTAATAAAAAAAAAGGTAACAGGGTTTCATCATTTATATTTTTGTGTTCTGACATATACTTTATAGTATATGTCTTTTTTCCTTTTTGAAAGTAAAACCAAAAGCTTGGAAGAGGATTAGAGCCACACAGCAAAAATATACCTTTTTTTTTTTTTTTTACTGAGTTCTGCGATTAAAGTCAGAATTCTGATGTTTTTTTTTTCCAGAATTTCTTTCTCAAAATTCTGAGAGGGAAAAAAAATCTTTGCTCTGTGGCCCTAATCCCATTGGTAGATTGACATAAATATAAATAAACTATTAAATTTATATTTTATTTTACATTTAATTGGGGGGATAGCTTCCTTGAATTTTTGGTTCAGTAATACTATCATCTCTTTTTCTTTGTCAGCTTCTCTACTATGTTAAAGTAGGAAACTTGTGTGGTTTAATTTTATGATACAACGGCCTGCCGCACAGCAACGTAAATACGTGCGGCTTTACGTGCACATGCGCTGTGCAGACAGAGGAAGGAAGCAATGTCGATAGAAGATCCATTTTTCGTTGTGAAGGGGTAAGAAATTAACAAATTCAGACTAAATACACTGCTTTAAGCTAAATTTAGCAATTAAAAATATTGTATTGTTTGTGTTTATGTGTATTATGAATTGTTGTGTTCCCTTAAAAAGTTATGCTGAGAAAGTTAGCTCAGTGGCTAACTGTAGCTAACTAGCATCAGGGTGGTAAGTGGAAAGATAGATTATTAAAAGACGTCCTGAAAAAGCCTAGGTTCTTTTTTGTTTTAGTTGGCTAACATAGCAAATAACAGGGCTGTGTTGAAAGTGTGTTGTTAAGAATACACAATTTTTCCCTCCCACTTTGCTAGGGACGAAGTTGCATAGTCCATATCATTAAATGTAAATGTTACTAATGTTTATTGTTGTGTGTGTTTGGTTTTCAGAGAGGTGCAGAAGGCCCTCTCTCGTGCTCGGTGTCTGTTTGATAGGTGGGAAGAACTGATGCAGGATGGGACACAGGTGAGCGTCGGGTAACTTGCTTGTTGATTATTCATGAAGAGGACACTTGCTGTTTTAACCCACTGAGAAAGATCAGTATCTTGTGTTTTTTTTTAAATACATGATTGCATGATTGTTGCACGTTTTCCTTTTGGTCCAGTAGTTTCCAGTTTGGTTCTGAACCACAAAAAGCATTTGTGCATGTCAGGATTTATTTCTAGATTTGTATTTGTGTATGTGTCATACCAATAGGCCTGTTACAATAAACAATAAATCAATTAATCGTATGATAAATTCAATTGAGGAAGATAAATTAAAATGAAGATAATACATTTCATTAGCTTGATTTTTATTTTGTTTTCTCCATGTCTGCCTCTTTTCTACTTCTTAGCATAGAGAGAAATTAACTCTGGCATTAGGTATTTGCCAGATGGTCTCTAACCTCTGTAGCATGAAAGCCTGACACCTTCACACAGCTGGCGACGCCTTGGGATTTCCAGCAGTTGTTTTTTTCTTTTTACACTATGTAAATTTTAATGTAAACAGCAGTTATTATATCATTATTTATATTATGGTTTAAACTGGTCTCCAACAATATTATTGTTTATTGCAATAATTTCTGAGACAATTTATTGTCCATTAAAATTTGTTATCGTGACAGGCCTACATACCATTGAATATGTACAGTAAAATCTCATCACTAAATGAAACATAAAAGTATCAAAATGGGCAACTAAAATCTAAGTTATGTAGCATGATGAAAGTGCACACATAGTTAAGGAGCATCTTTTGGTTTCTTTCTCAGGTGAGTCGAGATGAGCTGGACTGGAGTGCCAATGAGCTGAGGAACTGTCTGAGGGCTATTGACTGGGACCTGGAGGACCTCAGTGAAACTATCAGTATCTTTTTAAATTAAATTCTCCAACTTTTAATCCTTGTCAAGTCTTTAGGTCTGTAACTTCTCGTGACTGCCAGTGTTTAAAAAAAAACGGTTTATCACTTTTTCACCGTCCCATTTAGCTTTTTAACTTTTGCTTTTAGTTCTGGCCTTTTTGTTGGAAACCTTAACTGGTTCAGGTATTGTGGAGTCAAATCCCGGGAAGTTCAGGCTCGGCGATAATGAGCTTCAGGAAAGGAGAGACTTCGTGGAGCGAACCAGGAAGTCTGTTCAGGTGACTTTACTAATACAGATCTTTCTGGAGCATTTCTGTAGTCTGAAAATAAGTGAGGGAAATTTTTTTCAAAGAGCTGAGTGTCGGCAGGGCATCATATTAGAGCTCTTCATCTTTAATTTGACAAAACCGTGGCTGTGTCCAAAACGACAGGCCGGGTCCTCCGGAGGACCCAGACTCCCCGGTCGCGGCGGGCCGGGTCCTTGGTAGACCGGGAAGACCGGAAAAAAGAGGCTGTGAATTTGGACGGTCTAGCCTCCCCTCCTTACCCTGGCGTACGTCATGTCACCTAGCAACTGTGACGACGCTAAACAAGCAAACTTAAATCAAAACTAGAAAAATATCAATACATTAGCATTATTAATATCACAAAACTATAAAATTAACTTAAAAGTATCATTTGAAGAACTAATTGGTTTCATGTTTATTTCGCGTTTTTTATGACGAAAAATAATATTTAAAAACATGTTTAAACAAATGATAAAAGTATTAGAATTACAACTGCTAATTTTTTTAAATAGACGATGCACATTTTGTGACCCATCATATCGAAATGAGGATTAAGTCATATTTGGTCAAAATAACCTAACAACATTTTAAGATTCCTGGCTTTAAACGCAACATTTTGATACCTGCGTCATCCTGATATCATAAGCTTATCCAGAGAAATGATGCAATTTGTCTTGTTGGTTACAATAATAAATTAATATTTGGTCTGAATCCTAATTTTATGTAAATTTATTGAGTAATTTTTGATTTTAATATAAAGAGGAAATCTCAAATAGTATTTGTATATTAAGATTTCCCAGTTAGAAAGAAACAAAATGCTTCAAAAACATTTTAGGATAATATTTCAGACAGTTCATTCAAATGATGCACTGATAAGACATTAATTCATCATATTTTGATATAATGCAATTTTTACACACGTTTAAATCAAAACCCTATATCTGTCTATTTCTCTACACTCCACTTTTGGACTTGTTGTGGAAATCCTTATTTTACCTAGGCAGAAACATAAGATCCAAGAATAAAAAGTACTCCTTGAAATGATCAACAGGATTTATTGCAATTTCAAGACACACATCATGTCACACAGGGCAGTGGTATAAAATGTGTGCCCTGAGGCAGTTTCAAATACACACATTTATACAATATGTTATCCAAACAGACAATAAACATCTCACTTGTTGCTGAAACTGGGCCAAGAAGAGAATGATGTTTGATAAACTGCAACAAGAATGATTACTTCTAAACATACAGTATATGGTCCTGGTTGTGAACCTTTTTGTCTGAGAGAAAACAGAGGATAAAGAGTAAAATCATAAAACATGATGACATTTTAAGGTAAGAAAGAGAGGTCACTGACTCTTGACCTGAGAAGAATGTAGGACTTGAAAGGATAATTTATTTTTCCAGGACAGGACTTAATCCTTATTTCGATGTGATGGGTCACATTTCAGGGGGTCGCCCTGTTTCAAGTGGAGGAGTTTAAGTATCTGGGGATCTTGTTCATGAATGGGGGAAGAACGGAGCGGGAGATCAACAGGCGGATTGGCGCAGCGTCTGCTGTAAAGCGGGCGCTGTACCGGTCCGTCGTGGTGAAGAGAGAGCTGAGTCAGAAAGCGAAGCTCTCGATTTACCGGTCGATCTACGTTCCTACCCTCATCTATGGTCATGAGCTTTGGGTCATGACCGAAAGAACGAGGTCCCGGATACAAGCGGACGAAATGGATTTCCTCCGCAGGGTGGCTGGGCTCTCCCTTAGAGATAGGGTGAGAAGCTCGGTCATCCGGGAGGGACTCAGAGTAGAGCCGCTGCTCCTCCACGTCGAGAGGAGCCAGTTGAGGTGGCTCGGGCATCTGGTAAGGATGCCTCCTGGAGGCCTCCCTGGTGAGGTATTCCAGGCACGTCCCACCGGGAGGAGGCCCTGAGGAAGACCCAGGACACGCTGGAGGGACTATTGTCTCTCGGCTGGCCTGGGAACTCCTTGGAGTTCCCCCGGAGGAGCTGGAAGAAGTGGCTGGGGAGAGGGAGGTCTGGGCCTCCCTTCTGAAGCTGCTGCCCCCGCGATCCGACCCCTGATAGGCGGAAGAAAATGGATGGATGGATGGGTCACATTTCTGGATATGCATCAGAATTAGCAAAAAGCTACGTTTCGTCTGTTGTCCCTGGACTTGCTAAACGGACAGCACAATACCTTTTCAGTGTTGTCTCTGCACGTTTTTAAAATCAACAGTTTGTGTACAGAAGTTGCTTTGGGTATTTCATCATGTAACATTTTTATCAAGTTATGAATTTACTTTAATGATAAAGTAAATGTTGCCTGCTGATAACACAGTTGACTTATCAGATTTATTTGTATTTATTTACAAATTTTTACCTTTACAGCAAATGTTTGTAGGATTCCAGTACCAACAGGTCACCATGTTAGAAAAGACACGGTGTAAATACATTGGCTGGAAGACATTTGTTGTATTTTGATAACTGTGTTACTGATAAAGCTCACAGATGTGATGCTTAAGATCAAAAATGAGACGGAGTAGCAGCTCCCTCACATGGAACTCTCAGCTTTTATTTAGTTTTTATTGTAAACAGACCTGACGTGTCGATCGATGTCAGCTTATTTGCTGTCACTACAGTTCAGAAACTTAACATGACCTCACTTTAATAAAACTCAAAGGTCTAAGCTGTCTGTTCAGTAGAACGTCTGAGTCAGTTTCTAACTAAGACTCACAGGTTAAGGTACTGTTCTCAAAACAAACCTGAGGAGAAGTGAGTCACTGAAAATCAACAGAAGCAATTTGCTGAGAGAGAACAAAACTCTTTGTTAGAATCACCAGTCAGCAAATGAAAATGTCAAAGAAAAAAAATTAAGAAAATATTAAAGTTGTCTGAACTCAGCCAGGGTAAATCACTTTTATTTTTGTGACAGATTGTAAATTGTTTTATGTGTGCAGGAGATGAAAGATCAGTTATCCAGTCCTTCTGCTGTGGCTCAGGCTGAGAAGAAGAATAAACAGGTCAGTAAACATTTAAACACAAAATATACATTTCATGGTATAAAGAAGAAAAATAATAATAATAATGGATACTGTAGATGAACAAGATACTTTTAATTTCATTACACAAAGAAGAAAATCAATAAAACAAAACTACTTCTGTAACTGATCTGTTTTATGATCGACTCTTTTGGACAAAGTCGTCTGATAATGTGTCTCTTGTCTGTTTGTGTGTTTTTTTTTTCTTGGCTCAAAGGGTCAGGAAAGATCAACAGGTCTGGAAGCTCATCTAGTGTCGGCAAACTCCAGATACATTCAGGAGCAACAGGAACAACAGCAGGTAGAGACGAGTGCGTGGAATAAAAACGTTCAGAACAAAATAAAGAGGGTTGGGTTATTTAAAATCACGCGAGGAGTCTTTGAAATGTGCATTAGAGTGGATTTCTAACGCAATACAACACAACCCAGCAGTGAATAAGATACACGAGACGCATTTCTGTGTCCTGGTGTGGAAAGAAAACTTCAAATTAAAATGCATATACAAACAATATGTCACGTAAAATGTGAAACTCGATTTACAGCAGGCTGTTAGAACAAAGCTTCAGAATTATGTTATTTTATATTCTTTATCACTGAGGTCTTATGTATGTATCTGTTCTTTTTTAGAATAAAACAAATGAACGAAAGCACAACAATTAGAAGGTAATATTTATATAACTTGAGTCCGTTCAGTTGTAGCATGATGGGTTTAGGTTTTGTGTTTGAATAATGAGGATAAATAACCCAGGAGCTAACATGGAATGAATAGAAGATGAGCAGAAAGATCTCGAGTCATTCTGCAGGTTAAATGTCTGCTTCTGTTTTCACACCGAACAAAGAGGTGTTTTCACTGTTGTCTGAGTAAAGGGTTGGGTTTGACTTCCTGTTGGGTGGCTTGACTGTAGTGTTTAATAACGCAGTGATGTCATCACACATCCTGTCAGGTTGTGGTTTGAGTGGGGTGGGGGGGTGATTGTTTTTACTTTTGATTTAGCAACTGATTTTCACCCTGACAGAAATAGACTGGCATAGATCTGTAGTAAGTCAAACAGTACAGTGTGTGTGTGTG